TGATGGAGAGGAGGTATAGATTGGACATCCGCAAAAACTACTTCACAGTTAGGGCGGCTAGGAGCTGGAACCAACTTCCAAGGGAAGTGGTGCTGGCCCCTACCCTGGGGGTCTTTAAGAAGAGGCTGGATGCCTACCTGGCTGGACTCATTTGAGTCCCGTTTTTCTCTTTTGGGGTTTTTTGTTGTTCTCCCGCCCTGGCAGGGGGTCGGGCTAGAAGATCTACTAGGTCCCTTCCGACCCTTAATCTATGAATCTATGAATCTATGAAAATGCATCTACAGTGTTAATTCATTCAATATTGAAGAGGTGTGTATTTTCTGCTGTGCATAGATAAAAATGAAAAATGTAATTGAATAATTGGGGTATGAAAATTATTAGATTCCGGCTGCTGATATTATTACCTTTGAATAATACGGGCATGTAATTGTTGGCCTCCAGTGCATACGTAAGTCTGTGATAGCAGTGAGGCAGGCTTCACTGAAATATTTGTTTTACTTTCTAAAATGAACACAGCATTCAATTATGTCCACTGAACAGACATATAGGCAACCTACCTTCCTTTTGTTTTATACTGCCAAGGATACTCAATATAAACATCTCTAAAGACTGTCAAGGGTACACACTTCACTTCAGTCCAATGATAAATGACATTTTAAGTGACTTTCATAAAAGATGAAGACTGAAGTTATGGCAAGTAGCCACAATATGCAGTACAGAAGGACTTGCAAGTTTAATATTTGCTCATCCCAAAATGAGTCTATTAGTACTAAGAGTAATATTTTCCTGAAAGAATATGAAAAACTCACATTGATTGTAATGCCGATTATTTGTATCTTGCCGGTAAAGGACAGGACCTGGACCTGCAATTTGCTGTTTCAGATGTTTTTCCTTGGTCTTTTCCACTCCCCCCCTTTCATAAAAGGTAAATTTCTAAATTTGCTCATCAGAATAAATAGGAATGAGCCACAGAAGGAATGAGGTCTTGCTAAGGTGATGGTACCAAATTTAAGCTAATAACAAAAACATTACCGGTTTTAAAGGACTATACACAATAGTAACCAAGCTCATTTATATAATATACAGTGTGATAGGTGACTGCAAGTCACCTCAATATTTTTGAGCAAACTAAAGACTTTTTTCTCTTAGATACCAGATGGATGGAAATGTATACTGGGCATAAAGCCACCTGTTAGCTAATTGTAATGATAGATAACAATTTGTTATCCTAACAACAATAATCTAAATATCAGGCCTATAAATTTGCCTGACTCAGCCCATCTACATGTATCCTGGTGACTTTGTCCTCACAAGACCCCCAAAATTTAGGCAGGTCCTGTGGCAAATGCCACATTATCAATCTTGTTTTCATGTTAAGCAACTTCATGTAGAAAGGTGCAAGTTCAAATTTCATATTTTACACTTTAAATATAAAACTGTCAGAGCAGCACCTCATTTAATGTGAAAAAAAATGCTTTTAGTTTAAGGGGGATTTTTTTTTTGATTGGTTACTAACAACGTCTGCCATCAGCTTTAAACGGCTTGCTGTCCTCATCCTGCAGGTGAATGTTTTCTTTGGTTTGTTTGTTAAACAAACTACAGGAAATCCAACAAAGATGTCAATTTGCTTTCAGACTAAAAGGAACAGGATAATTCATTTTAATGGGTTCTTAGCTGCCTGTTTAAATTAAGGCTGCCCTAATTCTGGGAGAGGTGGCTATGAAGTATACATCAACAGTTTTCTCTGTCCTCACTGAAGAAAGCCAGGCAAACCAAATAAAGTGAAAAACAGAAGGGATGTAAATCACTGTGGCAATAGAGCCAAACTTACATAAAAAAGCTGGTTCATCAGCACCTTCAGCACTGAATCAGATGACGTGCTCAAAATTCACTTCTTGTTGTATTTCTGAGAAAATATTGATTGCAAATTTGTGTAAGGCTTAATTTAAGAGGAGGTGATGTCCTTGCATTATTTGTGAATGTATGATGGGATAACCTAAATGTGAGTTTAACAGCATTATGATAAAGGTCACGAGCTCTTAAAACAGGCCTACCTGTTGCCTGTACAGGATGAGAAATTATCAGAAGTAATTATAACATCGTAGAAGGCAGAAAGAAATATCAAATGTAATGATACTATATTAAACTCTGACCCTCCCATCTATTCTTCATAATCTTTACTATCTGCACCCTGCCCAGAAAAAAAAAGAACAGAAACCAGGAGATCTATGTTTCCCAGTGGCCTCTAGGATTGCTATCTATAGCCCATAACAGGAAGACATGTTAATACATTTTCCAACTGAGAAACTTAGACAACCAAAAAATATAACATTTCTGTCTTAAAGCCTTACACTATCTTTATAACCATGCAGTTTTCAGGGCACAATTTTTTTTTGCAATAGCCCAGTCTTTTTCTGCTGAAATGAATTACAACATTCCAATTGACTTCAGCGGGCACTGGTTGAGGGCCTTTAATCTCTACTCTGTTTTTAGTAAGACCAGAAGGGAAGAAAAACTCCATATGAGCTTTGTATACTTGACCCTGTACTTTGCTTAAAGTCCTTAACCAAATAATGTAGTGAGTTGGATGTGAAAAGTATCTACATAGGTGCTTGACATTATGCCAGTGCCTAAAAAAAATCAGTCTAACATGCTATTGTATGTACATACACATATATTACTTCAATAACTAGTTATTTTTAGGAACAATAAGGGTAAATGACTTCAAATAAGGTTTTTAATGTTAAATTTAAGATTTAAAAAATTGTTGCATCTGACATGTTTATATTGTGTTTCTATTGGCTGAATCTGTATAGGGGCAGGTGAATGATTATATGTTTGATTGTTGATGACTGGTCTTTTAAGACTAGAGAAATTGCTTGGCCTTTATGAGAAAATAAGGAATCTCTCCAGCATTATGAACTGTAGCATAAGGGTTGTGAAAGGTAAAGATGCCCAGAGTCAACTATAATTTACAGCATTTAATGTTTTGGCATAGATATCATTTGTCCAGGAACAGAATGTATATAAAATGCTCTTTTGGATTGTTCCCATTCTGTTTGGCTTGACCTTTCTCTTTCTTTTCAGGTGAAATCCTCAACTCCATAATGTAACATGAGTAGGGTAGCAAGGAATAATCTGACTTGAAGAATGACAGCTTAATGCAATTTAAATGAGAAAGCTATATTCCATGGCTCTGTCATTTAAACTGCACAGAAAAAAATCTGCATCAAGCATAAAAGACTTAGAATGCCAAAAAAAAAAAAGAAAGAAAAGAAAAGTACAGGATACTCCATTTGTTTTCTCTTGTTTTAATTGTTGTGATGCAGGAAAGCATGTGGTTTTTAGGATCATAGGCTATAACAAACTTGGGGAGTAGCTTGACAAATGCAAAAGAAATGATTCAGAAGTGCCGCAGCTACATATTACCCAAAAAAGTAATCAGTAAACACAGCTGAGAACCTGGCACAGTAAAGCTTCTGCTAACTGGAAGAAGAGTTACATTGTGTGTATGGAAAGGGTAGATTGATCCCTTCAGGTGGACCAGCAAGTGTTAAAACCTAATATTTATGATACATCAAGGAAACTTCTTAGATGTCAGCTGCATTCCTCTGGCAGCTAAACAGAGAGGGCCAGATCCAGCAAGGAGGGGAAAATATGGGAAGGCCAAGGCCATGAAATGTCAAATAAATTCAAACATCTGGGCTATAATCATATATATTTTCCCATCCTAAAAAAACTGAAAAAGTATCCTTAACAGATCATATCTCTAGGGTGGAAAATCAGCTTCTCACAACATGGCAGGGTAATCTAACTGTCTAAAGTAAAGTCTGGGCTTTGTGGTGTTATAGAGTATAGAGGCCATTTATATTTTCCTTGCCTGAGTAGTCTTGTTCGTAAATCATTTAGTTTTCTATTAAATCAAAACTGATGTACACACACATCCTGAAGTTGCCTATGTGCATTACAGTGACAGACACTCGATTGTGTAGAGTGCATCAGCGTTTTCATTCTGAACAGTGATTTTTAGGCATTATAGGATAACCTGCCCATATCAGCATGCACCTGCACCCACTTTTTTCCTTTTAAATATGAGTTTTAACCCTTCCTCTCTATTTGCACTTAAGAAAATAAGTGCATAAAAATTTAAAAAGTGGTCAGTTGAAGCCACTTTTGCTTCACCCTGCTTGTTGCATTATAAATTGAGAGAGAGAAAGAAATGGCATGAGAAGGCAAAGGCACCCCTCTTTCCCCACCACCATCACCAGTGTTTTAAGAGTGAGTCAAACCTAGTTCCTCAAAAGAAAGAACACAGGCATCCACCTGTAGGAGAGGATTATGTGCTGTGGAACTTGAATATACAAGCATAGGCAGCCATGTTTATCTTAAGTCAAGCAAAAGGCAGGGTAGATATAAAGTGCAAACCTACCTTACCTTTTCCTTGAATAGACTCCATACTAGCTTGCAGGCCTGAGCCACCAAGGGTGCATTCTAGGACTGATCCATATATCAGCACTTACCTGTTAGCTTGCTTTAGAAACATGCAGGCTGACTGCGATGATGTTGGATGGCTCCATGCTCAGCCTGATGGTTATTTTGGGCCCCGTTCTGAAGAGCCAAACTATAGTTGAAGTTTAGGTGCCTAACACAGTGTTCTGGGTTCCTAACCAGGCACTTAAACTTTGGGCAGAGAGGTGTATAATCTAGGTGTCTAAGTTCTTTTGGATGTATCTGGATCAATATGTCTAATATTGGGGTAGGTGACGGTTCATTGTTCCATTCTACTAACCTGCTCCTGAAGTAAGGCAACAAACCAGATCAATCCTTAGTAACTCAAAACACTAATCTGAAAGTGGGAGTTGACTGTATTCCCTTTAGTCAAAAGCCCAGTGGCTACAATACTCACCTAGGGTTTAGGACGCCCAGCTTCAAGTTCCTCCTCTGATTTGAATCCAGGATTTGAACCATCATCTTATACATCCCAAGTGAACACACTACCAGTGAGCTGTTGGGTAAAAAATGGAACACAGCCTTCAGGGTGGATCCAAAGAGATTATGGCAGCATAGTCACAAGTCTTCTTGGGCTGTGTGGCACGTAAGCTCTTGGCATGGGGTCTGGTTGGAACCTGTACTTTTATACAGTTCCAGAGCCTAGAGCAGGTGTAGGCAAAATACATCTCACGGGCTGGATCCAGCCCATGAGGCCATTTTGTCTGGCCCGTGGGGCCCCAAGAAATGTTTTAATAATTAATATTTATTTGCCTCTGGCTCCAGTCAAAAGTGACAGGAGCCAGGGGCATTAGGACCCAGCAGAAGCCAGGCCCCTGGAAAAGCAGGGCCCCCACGCCCCACCTCCCATAGCCGGAGGGACTCTGAGGCTGTTCCCGCCCGTGCTGGAGCGGGAAGCTCAGGTAAGAGGGGTTTGGGGGGTCACGCTGGGCCCCATTTGGCCACAGGGTTGTGGTGGGGGGCTGGGAGTGAGGAAGCATGCAGGAGCCAGTGCTCACAGGGCCCAGAGAGGGGTGGCTCCCCTCTCTCCCTGCTGGGGCATCCTGGCCTGGCTCCATAGAGCCCAGGCAGCTGCACCTCAGGCTCCTGCCAGCCTGATCTGAGCCCCGCCGGCACTAGCTCTGGGGCACTGCCTGGCTGTTACTGACTCCCAACCCCCCTGTCCAGCCTTGGGGGCAGTGGCGGGGGGAACCTGGGGCTGCTGGGAGCAGCATGACCCAGCAGGGACGTGGCCTGGGGCGCAGGGAGGAGGTGAGGAACTTCCATCCTGCGCCTGAGGCTTGGGGCAGCAACAACTTGGAAGGATGTGGGCAGTGGGGTCCCACAGGGCTCGGTCCTCAGGCCCGCACTGTTTAACGTCTTCATCAGTGATTTGGACGAGGGGGTAAAAAGCACCCTGTTCAAATTTGCTGATGACACTAAGATGTGGGGGGACGTGGGCACATTGGAAGGAAGAAGCAGGCTACAATCAGACCTGGACAGGTTACAAGGGTGGGCGGATGAGAATAGGATGGGCTTCAACACAGACAAGTGCAAGGTGATGCACCTGGGGAGGAACAACCGGCACCACACCTACAGGTTAGGGAACTCCCCTCTTGTCAGCACGGAGGTGAAAAAGGTTCTTGGAGTCATCATTGACTCCAAGATGAACATGGGCCGGCAGTGTGGCGAGGCAGTTAGGGAGGCCAACCGTACCTTGTCATGCATCCACAGATGCATCTCGAACAGGTCCAGAGAGGTGATCCTTCCCCTTTATGCGGCACTGGTCAGGCCGCAGTTGGAGTAGTGCGTCCAGTTCTGGGCGCCGCACTTCAAGAGGGATGTGGACAGCATAGAGAGGGTCCAGAGGAGGGCCACTCGCATGATCAGGGGACTGCAGGGCAGGCCCTATGAGGAGAGACTACGGGACCTGAACCTGTTCATCCTCCACAAGAGAAGGCTGAGGGGGGATCTTATGGCCTGTTACAAACTGGTCAGGGGGGATCAGCAGGCATTGGGGGAGTCACTGTTCCTCCGAGCACAGCCAGGAGTGACCAGGAACAACAGTCACGAGCTAGCAGAGGGTAGATTTAGGTTAGA